ATCAAAAAAGTGAAGTCGAAAAATAGAAACCTTAAAAAATCGAAAAATTGAAAAATCAAAAACCTGAAAAATCAAAAAATTAATGAATTGAGGAACAGGAAAATCGAAACACTCGAAGGTCAAGAAATGGGAAAATCAAAACATCGATTGATTGAAAAATTGAGAGTTTATAAAAGTCAAATTTAAAAAATTAAAAAATCGAAAATTTGACAAAATGGCAATTGAAAACAGAAAATCTAAAACCGGGAAGTCCAAAAATCGAAAGATTAAGCAATCGAAAAATTGAAAAAGTAAAAAATTGACACATCGAAAACTCCAGAAGCCAAAAATCGAAAAGTCGAAAAATGAAAGAAAAAGAGCAAGCGAAAGAATTGAAGAACAAGAATATCGAAAGTCAAGAAATGGGAAAATCAAAACATCGATTAATTGAAAAATCGAAAAATTGACAGTTTATAAATGTCAAATTTGAAAAATTGAAAAATCGAAAATTTGAAAAAAACACCTTTGAAAAACAGAAAATCTAAAACCGGTAAGTCGAAAAATCGATAGATTAAGAAATCGAAACATTAGAAAAATTCGAAAACTTGAAAAACTGAAATATCGAAGAACTGAAATGAAAAATCGAGAAATTGGAAAATTTAAATTTTAAATATTGAAAAATTAAAATATCAAAAAACTGAAAAATCTAAAACCGGGAAGTCGAAAAATCGAAAATTGGAAACACCGAAAATTCCAACAATCGAAAAAATAAAAAATTGAGAATTCGAAAAATCAAAATGAAAATTCAAAAACTGACAATTGAAGAATTGAAAATCGAGATGTCAAAAAACGCAGAAAAAAGAGACAAACTGAGAAATCGAGAAATTGAAAATCAAAAAATGAAGAAACTGAGAAATTGGAAAATCAAAAATCCAACAATCGAAAAAACCAAAAATCGAAAATTGAGGACTTGAAAAATCGAAAAGTCAAATTGAAAATTTAAAGAACCGGAAAATTTAAATACATATCTAAATTTCAAACAACCGACGAAGTGAAAAATCGAAAAAATGGAGAAATTGAGAAATCGTGAACTCGGGAAATTCAGAAATTGAGAACAAAAAATAGAGAAACTGAGAAATTGGGAAATCGAAAAATTGAGGAATTTAACAATTGAAAAAAACGAAAAATCAAATATCGAAAATCCATAACTGAAAAAAATACATTAAAAAAATTAAAAACTGAGATTTCGAAAAATTACAATGAAACTTTAAAAAAATGAGAAATCGAAGAATTGAAAATCGAGAATGGAAAACGCAGAAAAAAAAGGGAATTAAGAATTTGAGAACTCGGGAAATCGGGAAATTGAGAATCAAAAAATGAAGAAACTGAGAAATTGAGGAATCCAACAAATGAAAAAACTAAAAATCGAAAATTGAGAACTCGAAAAATCGAATACCGAAAATCGAAAAAAACGGAAAACTAAGAATTGGAAAAATTAAAGAGTCAAAATGAAAATTTGGAAAATAGGAAAATCTAAATACATATCTAAAATTCGAACAACCGACAAAATCGGAGAAATTGAAAAATCGAGAATTTGGGAAATCCAGAAATTGAGAACAAAAAATGGAGAAACTGACAAATTGATTAAGAATTCGAAACATTTGAAAAATTCGAAAACTTGGAAAAATTTGAAATATCGAAGAACTGAAATGAAAAATCGAGAAATCGAAAAATGTAAAATTTTATAAATTAAAAAAATCTAAAATTTAAAAATCAAAAAAGTAAAAAAAATCGACACATCGAAAAATCCAGGAGTCAAAAATCTAAAAGTCGAAGAATCGAAATATTGAAAAATCCCAAAACTGAAATACCGAAAAACTGAAAAATGAAAGAAAAACTAAAAATGGGAAACTAAATCGGGAAATCAAAACATTGAAAAATCGAAAAATTTAAAACGACAATTGAAAACAGAAAATCTAAAACCGGGAAGTCGAAAAATCGAACGATTAAACAATCGAAAAATTGAAAAATCGAAAAAGTAAAAAAATCGATCCTTCGAAAACTCCAGAAGCCAAAAATCGAAAAATCGAAGAATCGAAATATTGAAAATCCCAAAACTGAAATAGCGAAAAACTTAAAAATGAAAAAAAAACTGAAAAATGGAAAACTTGGAAAATCCGAAAACTGAAATATCCAAAAACTGAGAACCTAAAAAGTCGAAAAATTGAGCAAGCCAGAAATCCAAAAAGTGAACTCGAAAAATCGAAACCTTAAAAAACTAAAAAATGAAAAATCAAAAACCTGAAAAATCGAAAAATTAAAGAATTGAACAGGAATATCGAAACCCTCGAAACTCAACAAATGGGAAAATCAAAACATCGATTAATTGAAAAATCGAAAAATTGAGAGTTTATAAAAGTCAAATTTGAAAAATTGAAAAATCGAAAATTTGAAAAAACGACAATTGAAAAACAGGAAATCTAAAACCGGGAAGTCGAAAAATCGAAACATTTGAAATATTCGAAAACTTGAAAAACTGAAATATCGAAAAACTGAAATGAAAAATCAAGAAATCGGAAAATCGAGAAACTGAAACTGAAAATAAAAAAAAGAAATTCAGAAATTGGATAATCGAGAAATTAAGAAATCGAAAAATTGAGGACCAAAATCGAAAAATCTAAAAATCCAGAAATCATACAATCAAAAAACCGAAAAATTTGAATAATTGAAAAATTGGGAATCTCAAAAATCAAAATGAAAAGAATCAAGAAGTTGAGAAATCGAAAAACTGACAACTAGAAAAATCGAAAATATAAATAATCGAAGAAATGAAAAATTGAGAATTTGAAAAAATTAATACGAAAAATGGAGAAATCGAGAAAGTAAAGAACAAGAAATCGAAAAATGCAAGAGCAAAAATTGGAGAAATTGAGAACTCACGAAATCTAGAAATTGAAAATCAAAAAATGGAGAAATTGAGAGACTGGGAAATCGAGAAACTGAGAACAGAAAAATCGAAAATTGAGAACTTGAAAAATTGAAATACGAGAAATGGAAAAATCAAAATGAAAATTCGAAAATTGAGAAATTGAAAGTCAAGAAATTGAAAAATGCAGAATTAAAAAATGGGGACATTGAGAAATTGAGAAATCGGGAAAACTACAATTCAAGACCACCAAAAACTGGAAAATCATACAAACAAAAAACCGAAAAATTGACAATTAGAAAAATCGAAAGTTCGAATAATCGAAAAAATGAAAAATTGGGAATTCGCAAAATCAAAATAAAGTTCAAAAAATTAAAAAATCGTAGAATCGAAAACATTGAGAAATCGAAAAACGCAGAATAAAATGGAGAAATTGTGAAATCGAGAACTCGGGAAATCGAGAAATTGAGAAATCAAAAAATTGAGGGACCTAACAATCGAAAAAACCAAAAATCAAAAATTGAGGATTTGAAAATAGGAATATCGAAAATCCAAGTATCTAAAAATCCAAAAGTCATACAATCGAAAAAACGAAAAATTGAAAAATCAAGATAAAATTCGAAAAATGCAGGAAAAAGTGGAGAAATCGAGAACTTGGAAAACTGAGAATCAAAAAATAGAGAAATCCGGAAATTGGGAAATCGAGAAATTGAGAAATCGAAAAATTGTGGAATGTAAAAACCGAAAATTGAGGACCAAAATCGAAGAATCTAAAAATCCGAAAATCGAAAATTCGAATCGAAAAAACAAAAAATTGAGAAATCGATGAATTGAAAATTGTGAAGTTGAAAAATGCAAAAAAATGGACAAATTGTGAAACCGGGGATTCAGGAAAATCTAAAATTTTAAATACATATTGAAAAATTAAAATATCAAAAAACTGAAAAATCTAAAATTTAAAACTCGAAAAATTGAAAAAACGACAATTGAAAAACAGAAAAACTAAAACCGGGAAGTCGAAAAATCGAAACATTTGAAAAATTGAAATATGGAAGAGATGAAATGAAAAATCGAGAAATCGAAAAATTTTAAATTTTAAATATTGAGAAATTAAAATCCAGAAGTCAAAATTGGAAAAGCCGAATAACAGAAATATTGAAAAATCCCAAAACTGAAATATCGAAAAACTGAAAAATGAAAGAAAAACTGACGAATCGAAAAACTGAAAAATCCCAAAATTGAGAATCCAAAGAATCGAAAAATTGAGAATCAAAAAAGTGAAGTCGAAATATCGAAACCTTAAAAAAAATCGAAAAATTGAAAAATCCCAAAACTGAAATGTCCAAAAACTGAGAAATTAAAAAATTGAGAAATCGAAAAATCAAAAAAGTGATGTTGAAAAATCGAAACCTAAAAAAATAGAAAAATTGAAAAACCAAAGAACCCGAAAAATCAATTAATTGAAAAATCGACCAATAAAGAGTTTATAAAAGTTAAAAATTGAAAAATCGAAATATTTAAAAACCGTAAAATTGAAAAGAAAAACTGAAAACCGAGAAATTGAAAAATTGTAAAATCCAAAAATTTAATAATAAAATAAATAGGAGTCAACTGAAAAGTCCCCAAACTAAAATTTCGAAAAACTGACAATTCGAAAGTTGAAACAGCAAGAAATTATGGTCGAAATCGGTTAAGATCACGGATCATGGCTTATAAATCAAATCGTTTCCAAACGCTTAGAGTCGACATTGGCCTGAGTGCCCTCTGGTCTGTGGATCAAACAAGTTTTCAGACGACGAACTGTAATTCGTGTGATCTGAATTAAACTGAAGAAAACAGTAAGCAGCTTGTAATATTCTGGTAAATCTAGTGTCAATTTGTCGAAAGTAAAACGCGTCGTTAAAAATATTATGACATTTTTTCTGGTCAATTTTATTCCTAGTTAGAAACAAACACTGTTGCCAACATAAGTCGAGGAGTCCTCAACCGTCATTTAATTTACGCTATGACGCTCCTCTATGTTCTCTGGTTATGTTATAAATACTCTGTCAAATATCAATGTGTCAAACTTTTTGGGTTGTAAATTACAAACAAATTTTAGTTAAAATTTTATTTCAAGCATTAAATAATCAAAATAAATTAACTCTTTATAAAAAATCACACTATTGTTTAACAATAATCTGATCACCACTCTGCATGGAATACAGCCCGATTTCCTTCATCTCATCATCAAGCGAAATTTCAATGTTTGAATCGGTACTACTTATGTAAGTAAGTTGCGGCCTTTCCTTTAAACAGAACAACTTCTGAGCAAGCACCATAAGTTTCTGGACGGTCATGGTCGGAGGCATTTTCTTTTCAATAGCGACACCCTCGAAAACTAAATTTAGGTGAATCAGAGACGTTTTAATTATTTTTGGTTTGGTGATGAGCTCAGATTCCTCGGGCTCTCCGTATTCTGAAAATAAAGTATAATGAAAATGAAACCAGTTTATTAAATAAGCGTACTTTGTATTAGTTCTTGATACCGGTTGTGGGACCTCAAAAATTCTTCCTCTTGATTCGTGCCTTTAATTTTCAGCCATTCTAATCCGTATTTTTTTATGTAGTCGTACTCGGCGCCTCTTCGTTCCCCGGGTTCGATTTCTACGCCATTTAAGATTTTCAAGTTGGCAATTTTAGCAATTATTAGTTGGTGGATGGTGTCGTGATCCTCTGACCCTGTTATAGGGTTTCTGGACACTTTTAAGTGTTCCAGACTTTCTAGACGGTTTAGTTCGCCTATTGAGTGCCACTAAAACACAATTTAATAACAAAAAAAAATAATTAAAAAATCGACACAACGCACCTCATTTAAATGATTATCGACGATACATATTTTTTTCAATGTTCTAAACATTGATACAGGAACTTCATCGCCGTCAAACTCTATCGACAACAAACCGATATTCTCAATAATTAATTGTTCCAAGAGGGGTAAAAAACCCAATTTACACACTTCAGACCAATGTTGGATTTTATTCCCTTCCAAATCTAACAACTTCAATTTCAAAAAAATCCCCTCAATGAGATCTAAATTCTCAATCTTATTAAGAGGCGCTCGAAATTCCTCAACATCTGGAAACGCTTTCCCAATCTGGCACACCTCACTCCAACTCAAACTCATAGTACCACAAATCAAAGTTCTCAAATTTGGGTACTGTACACTCCCTAGGGACCCAGGCACACTTAACAGATTCTCACTTACATTCAACCAATGTAATTTAGGCAACTGATCACAAATCATGAGAATTTCATCCCACGACACCAATAAATTTTTCGAAATATCCAATTCCTCAATATTCGGGCAATTTTCCCCCAACTTGCGCGGAGCCCCAGCCGAGTTCACATTCTGGTCCCGCAAATTCACGATCCGCAACGTGTTGAAGTTACTCTGTTTGTTAAAAATCTTATCAAACCCCACCATCTCCAAAAACGGGGCGTTCATAGTCTGCTGGATCAACAGTTGTTTCTGCTGGTTAATTTTCGCGGTGAATTCGTCCTCGATCTGGCCGTACCGCGACTCGATTGACGCGATCGCCGACTTTCCAAAATTGACTTTTTCCGGCCGCACGAACGACCCCGATGTGGGAAAACTGGAAGTGGCTGTGTTAGCGCAAAATTTTGCAGGGGGGTGGTTTTACTTGGCCGTGAAATACTGGACTCCGTTTACGCTGCCGTTGTGCTTGCCTCGGTCCGGGTCGTCCCAATCGACGCCTAGCCAAATCGACGGTTTTCCTTCCAGGGGGCCCACGTACTTGACTGTTCCGAAGGAGTTGCCGCATTCTATGCGGTCCCCGAGCTTGCATGGGGACGACTGTGAGTTAGTCATTGCGGTTTCTGGTGAAGAAACGGGTGAATCGGGATTGTTGTTTCGGGTGGAAGTGGGGTTATGTCACCGGATTTGGGTCTTACCTGGTGGTCGTAATATTTGAAATTGTGAATGGAGTCACTAATGTTGAAAACTCATTGCAATGAAATGTTTTTAAAATCGTTATTAAAATATCAAAAAGTTGACATTTGGTCGATGACTTTTTTTATTGCCCGAAATTTGGACGGCATTTTGTGGCCACTACCAATGGAAGTGTCAGATTGGGGTCACGTGGTGGAAATATCGGGTTTTATTGGTGGAGAGCGAAAAGATAAACGATTGTGTTAAGTTAAGGTTGCTTTACACAGAAAAAGCTACCTTCACGTTTACAGTTAGGTGGAAAATTGACACTATTTTCACTATGAAAATATTCAAACTAATCATTGCGTTGTTTCAAATTGTTAAAGAATTCTTGAATAAATATACTGTTTACTTTTTCTCCAAAAGGAGTATTTCTGGTTGCATACTAAAATCTCACAAAAATTTAATCTTAGAATTGATTAGCTAATTTTTTTTTTCATTCCTGTATTTTTATTTGTTGCTATAAATTACCGAAAATGGTAAAATTACGTGCAGACGGCAACGTATTGCAACATATCGTGGTTGTTATTGATTTATTTTATTTTTAGCAGGTGTGATGGCGCCACCAACTAAATGAGAACGATACATCTAACTACTACGTATCAGCTAACGCTAACGTTATATACGAAGAGATTCCAACACCCATCGTACTCGCTTCGGCGGTACATATACTAAAATTGGAACGATACAGAGAAGATTAGCATGGCCCCTGCGCAAGGATGACACGCAAAATCGTGAAGCGTTCCACATTTTTTGTTTTTTTTTTTTTAACTTATTTTTCAGATACTTGTCATATTTTGAAAATTTCTGTTCTACATTAAAAATATAAATTTTTTATAAGAAGAAGTCCAGTAATTTCGACACAAACCATAACGACAGACGGACACGGAAGACCTAATTTTTTATTATCCTGGGGTCATGAAACGTCGAGAAAACATTCGACAGGTAAAACTTACTACAATACTTTCCTAGCTCACCATCAGGAAGTAAAAATTGATTTCGCGTTTCCGTCCATCTGTCTCTCTGTGGTTTGTTGGCGAATTTATTACACATGTGTAATATTTAAAAATCATAGTTAAAATTGAATACCTGTAGTTTATGGATCCGCCTTAATTTTTGTCTTATTAGACATACAGATTTCTGGAAAAATATCAAAATTATTATTAAAATTTTACAACTTAATTTAGAAACCACAAAATCAAATGCTCTGAAAATTTGTATTATAAACGGAAGTATGGTAAGTCGCTAATGAACATTTATTTGCCTATGCTTTTCAAAAACTTGATGACCTCATTTCAGTTTTTTTTTTAATCACTGCATTAATATTTTTTAGAATTACTTATAGGCGCTCAAAAAATATAATAAATGAATTTTAATGATAAATTAAACCTACATAGTTTCCGTTTGCTAAGATAAGACTGAGTTTGGCAAATAATATACCCTCTGAGAAAATAACGGGCGGGTGGACGGGGCTAATACTTGCTGAGATAAGACTGCTTTTGGCAAATGACATATTTTCTAAGAAAATAAACGGCGGGTGGGCGGGGCTAGCACTTGCTAAGAAAAGACTGATTTTGGCAAATAAGATACCCTCTAAGAAAATAGAGGTTGCAGTTATCAAAGAAACGAGGCCGAAAATGAGTTCTAACCTCGAAATCTACAAGAAAATATATTCGGTTAGGTTTCAAAAATGTCTAAAATTGGTCTAAAGGGGTTGTAGCTTTTCCAGCTGATTCCAAAAATATAGAGTGTTCGTGGTCACAGAGCAAAATATTCGCTAGAATCGTTGTGAAATGAGAATTTTTGAAAATTTCTAAAAATTTCGATACTTCAACGGTCGATTCTGGGAAAACGGTTGCAGTTATCGAAGAAACGAGGCCGGAAGTGAGTTCTGGAACTCGAAATGTTTAGTTTCGTTAAGTTTTTAAAATGTCAAAATTTGGTCTTAATTTGAAAAAAGGGGGACCATTGGAAAAATTTCACTAAAAAAAAAGTTGTCTAAAAATTCTGAAAAAATTCAAGGATGTAGATCTCGATTTGCTGTTTCCAAAAATATAGAATGTTTGTGGTCACGGAGCAAAATATTCGCCAGAATCGGTGTGAAATTAGAATTTTTGAAAATTTCTAAAAATTTCGATATTTCAACGGTCGATTCTGGGAAAACGGTTGCAGTTATCGAAGAAACGAGGCCGGAAGCAAGTTCTAGAACTCGAACGGTACAAGAAAATGTATTTAGTTAAGTTTCGAAAATAAAAAAATTTGGCCGAAATTTCAATAAGGGGGGACCATTGGAAAAATTTCACTAAAAAAAAAAGTTGTGTGAAGATTCTGAAAAAATTCAGGGATGTAGATCTCGGTTTGCTGATTCCAAAAACATAGAATGTTTGTGGTCACGGAGCAAAATATTCGCTAGAATCGTTATGAAATGGGAATTTTTGACAATTTCAAAAAATTTCGATATTTCAATGGTCGATTCTGAGAAAACGGTTGCAGTTATCGAAGAAACGAGGCCGGAAGAAAGTTCTAGAACTAGAAATGTACAAGAAAATGTGTTTAGTTAAGTTTCGAAAATGTCAGAATTTGGCCGAAATTTGAAGAAGGGGGGACCACTGGAAAAATTTCACTAAAGAAAAAGTTGTGTGAAAATTCTGAAAAAAATATGGGATATAGACCTCGATTTGCTGATTCCAAAAATATAGAATGTTTATGGTCACAGAGCAAAATATTCGCCAGAATCGGTGTGAAATGAGAATTTTTGAAAATTTCTAAAAATTTCGATATATCAACGGTCGATTTTGGGAAAACGGTTACAGTTATCGAAGAAACGGCGGCGGAAGTGAGTTCTAGAACCAGAACTGTACAAGAAAATGTATTTAGTAAGTTTCGGAAACGTCAAAATTTGGCGTTAATTTGAAGACGGTAGGACCATTGGAAAAATTTCACTAAAAAAAAGCTATCTGAAAAATCTGAAAAAATTCAGGAATGTAGATCAAGATTTGTTGTTTCCAAAAATATAGAATGTTTGTGGTCACGGAGCAAAATATTCGCCAGAATCGGTGTGAAAGGAGAATTTTTGAAAATTTCTAAAAATTTCGGTATATCAACGGTCGATTTTGGGAAAACGGTTGCAGTTATCGAAGAAACGGTGGCGGAAGTGAGTTCTAGAACCCGAATTGTACAAGAAAATGTATTTAGTAAGTTTCGAAAACGTCAAAATTTGGCGTTAATTTGAAGAAGGTAGGACCATTGGAAAAATTTCACTAAAAAAAAGCTGTCTGAAAAATCTGAAAAAATTCAGGAATGTAGATCAAGATTTGCTGTTTCCAAAAATATAGAATGTTTGTGGTCACGGAGCAAAATATTCGCCAGAATCGGTGTGAAATTAGAATTTTTGAAAATTTCTAAAAATTTCGATATTTCAACGGTCGATTCTGGGAAAACGGTTGCAGTTATCGAAGAAACGAGGCCGGAAGCAAGTTCTAGAACTCGAACGGTACAAGAAAATGTATTTAGTTAAGTTTCGAAAATAAAAAAATTTGGCCGAAATTTCAATAAGGGGGGACCATTGGAAAAATTTCACTAAAAAAAAAAGTTGTGTGAAGATTCTGAAAAAATTCAGGGATGTAGATCTCGGTTTGCTGATTCCAAAAACATAGAATGTTTGTGGTCACGGAGCAAAATATTCGCTAGAATCGTTATGAAATGGGAATTTTTGAAAATTTCAAAAAATTTCGATATTTCAATGGTCGATTCTGGGAAAATGGTTGCAGTTATCACAGGAACGAGGCCGAAAGTGAGTTCTAGAACTAGAAATGTACAAGAAAATGTGTTTAGTTAAGTTTCGAAAATGTCAGAATTTGGCCGAAATTTGAAGAAGGGGGGACCATTGGAAAAATTTAACTAAAAAAAAAGTTGTCTGAAAATTCTGAAAAAATTCAGGGATGTAGATCTCGATTTGCTGATTCCAAAAATATAGAATTTTTGTAGTCACAGAGCAAAATATTCGCCAGAATCGGTGTGAAATGAGAATTTTTGAAAATTTCTAAAAATTTCGATATATCAACGGTCGGTTTTTTGAGAAAACGGTTGCAGTTATCGAAGAAACGGCGCCGGAAGTGAGTTCTAGAACTCGAACTGTACAAGAAAATGTATTTAGTTAAGTTTCGAAAACGTCAAAATTTGGCGTTAATTTGAAGAAGGTAGGACCATTGGAAAAATTTCACTAAAAAAAGTTGTCTGAAAAATCTGAAAAAATTCAGGAATGTAGATCTCGATTTGCTGTTTCCAAAAATATAGAATGTTGGTGGTCACGGAGCAAAATATTCGCTAGAATCATTATGAAATCAGAATTTTTGAAAATTTCTAAAAATTTCGATATTTCAACGGTCGATTCTGAGAAAACGGTTGCAGTTATCAAAGAAACGAGGCCGGAAGTGAGTTCTAGAACTCGAAATGTACAAGAAAATGTGTTTAACGAGGCCGGAAGTGAGTTCTAGAACTCGAAATGTACAAGAAAATGTGTTTAGTTAAGTTTCGAAAATGTCAAAATTTGGCCCAAATTTGAAGAAGGGGGGGACCATTCGAAAAATTTCACTAAAAAAAAAGTTGTCTGAAAATTCTGAAAAAATTCAGGGATGTAGATCTCGATTTGCTGATTCCAAAAATATAGAATGTTTATGGTCACGGAGCAAAATATTCGCTAGAATCGCTATGAAATTATAATTTTGGAAATTTCTAAAAATTTCGATATTTCAACGGTCGATTCTGGGAAAACGGTTGCAGTTATCGAAGAAACGAGGCCGGAAATGTACAAGAAAATGTGTTTAGTTAGGTTTCGAAGATGTCAAAATTTGGCCGAAATTTGAAGAATTGGAAAAGTTTTATTGAAAAAAAAAGTTGTTTAAAAATTCTAAAAAAATTCAAGGATGTAGATCTCGATTTGCTGATTCCAAAAATATAGAATGTTTGAGGCCACGGGGCAAAATATTCGCTAGAATCGTTATGAAATGAGAATTTTTGAAAATTTCTAAAAATTTCAATATTTCAACAGTCGATTCTGAGAAAACGGTTGCAGTTATCGAAGAAACGAGGCCGGAAGTGAGTTCTAGAACTCGAAATGTACAAGCAAATGTATTTAGTTAAGTTTCGAAAATGTCAAAATTTGGCTAAAATTTGAAGACCATTTGAAAAATTTCACTTTTACAAAAGTTGTCTAAAAATTCTGAAAAATTCCTGGACGTAGATCTCGACATGCTGATTTCAAAAATATAGCGTGTTGATAGTCACGGAGCAACATTTTCCAAAGAATCGGTACGAAACACAAATTTTTGAAAATTTCTAAAAATTTCGATATCCCCACCACCACGTCATCTCCAAAATTTACAATAAGATTTTTTTTTAATTAAATAGAATAAGACACTTGTGATGTAAGAATTCGTGTTGAGTTTTCACCCTAGATATAGATTTTTGAAAAAAAAAAAATCAAAACGCTATAACATTTTGCAATTTAACTTTGAAACTGCAAAATCGGATGCTCTGAAAACGATTAAGGTTGTGGTTGATCAATGCACTCACAGTTTTTAGAATTACTTATGCAGGTGACTCAAAAAAAAGATTGAGGCAAGTTTATTAATTAAATCAAGAGTGACTCGCTCCGTTTTCCTAAAATCTAGGAATACGGTACTTTAAGAGCGAGGAAAGTACTGTCGAAATAACCTTCGACCAAATTTTCTAAAAACTTTCGCGTTCATTTTTCAACAGACTGATTCAGTCCTTTATGTTTTACAAAATAAGTTTGTTCACAGATATTTTGAGAGCTTCGAATCTGTTTCAAACAGCTTTAGGTAACAGGAATCATTTTTAAACACAGTCAGTGAGTATAGATGTTATATATATAGTCACTGACACAGTTTAGGGAAAACTTGATATTGAATATATTTTACCGTCGAAACGTTGTAAAGGAAGTGAAATGAATGATAAACAACCAAAATTAAGACAAATCTCAAAAAAATATATACATATACCTAAACGGGAGTGATCAAATGATCAAAATCTAGAAAATAGATTGTCAATGACTTAACATGTTCTTCTCGTAGTATTTTCGCCCTAATTATAAATTTCACTAAAACGTATTTTATATCTAACTTTTTTTTTTAATAACGCATATCTGGAATTAAAAATATAATTTAAGGGAAAGTGTTAAGCTTTATATTTTACTAACAAAACTTCAGACAAAAGGAATGTTTAGAGGGAACAAACAGACAATTTTTATCATCTTCTTCGTAATTCTGAAATATTCGAAAAGTTGGTATATGCAACCAGCAATACACTACTCAGCAATTTGTATAAATCTATCCTATCCAACAACCGCCTCGCCTCCTCACCAACTACGTCATCACACCCTCGACTGCCTCAACTTTTTTACCCTCCAGCCGACCATCACTCTCTTCCACACACCTTATCATCTCAATCAACCAACACAGCTTCCAAGAATCCCCAGCCTAACCTCTTAAATCTCCGACAACCCGCTCCGCTCCGCTTCAAATCTCCACCTATCCTCCCCCACCCTCCGGCAGCGCGCAATAATTAACCACCACAACCATCATTACAAATCCACATCCAATTACCCGCAAGAATGCGGGCCCACGGCCACCGGCCCTGCAATAAACACGTCATCCGCTGGCCACTTTCTCCCCACATCCGGCCCCAACTGCCCGAAATTACCCCAAATCCACCCTTCCCAGGCATCGGAATGCGCCCCCCGCCGCCTCTGACCATCCTCCAATCGGACAGGTTTAGAGTCGGTCATTCAAGGTAGTAAGTTCACAGATAGCCTCAGGTGCACACACACAGACAACCACACACACACACGTACACCTGCCTCAGATAGTCGCATGTTCGTCCACCTGTCGGTTGTAAACAAAGTAGTCCGTGGAGTGATCGTCACATGTTTGGTCCGCGATCTTCAATTGTTGCGCGAAAATGAGTGCCAGTGGGTTGGTGGGATCTAGTGCGCCGAGACAGGATTAAGGGTTTCGCCAGTGTAAGTTGGGTTTGGGGGAAAATTGTTGTATATTTACAACATGTGATTGGTCTACCGGTGCGAATTTTGTATTTGTGTTTGATTTGTAGATTGGTGAAGGTTGTTTGCATGATGTGAGTCGGGCTTTGAAAATTTTGACAGCGATATATACAGCTTCGAAAAAAGTCATGTTCTCGAAATTAATGGGTCTGGATTTTGTTTGGTTGCGTAATCGAGCGCCGATCCTTGTCCGGTTTTCTCTTTCCTTTTTCTTTTCCTTTCTGTGTCTGTATTTTTGCGCATTGTTTGGATGCCGTGAGTATAAAACTTTATGGAAGTTTCGATTACGGCTTATCGTTTATGGTGGTTTGAGCTAATATGTTCCGCCTTGTTATTTTTAATAGTGACGTTAATTGTGAATTGAAAATACCACGTTCCGCGTTTGGTGATATTTGCTTTATGAAGTTTATAAATACGATGACAACTGACTGAAGGTTAGTCGCTTGATTGCGATCTGTAGCGTTGAAGTCACCAGACGTTCTTTATTGTACAATTAAGAATCTCCGATTTATTAAAAAATTACACGACTCACTTAACTCGTGTAGATATTTTCTGAATAATTTACCGCTTACTCATATTCAGGTTAAAAAATGAAGGTTATCGGAGGAAAATAAAAAGTAAACACGACTTTAGCATTACTTATGAACGTGTCAGAAAAAATCGATTCTTTGGTACATTTTTCGCTGATAACTACATACATGGAAAACTATTTTCTCGTTGCTGTAAACTTACATGTTACCATGTACTTAATAAAGATAATATTATTTAATTAAGATAATGAAGGTTAAACACCGGCACGTCTACTAACATAAACATATTAACTAATGTAGCAATTCCTGCGTACTACAGTTATAATGGATTTACTAAGAAACATAAAACAGTAGTAAAACAAACATAATATACTTTCTACTGTGCTTAGGCTACTGAGATTACAAATTAATTGTGACATCCGACATAATTTTGGACGGTGGCCTTGAAAAAATTTCCGCCGCAGCACGCTCGATGTAAAGATCCACTTGTCAATATTTCAGTCAGGTGTAGCGATTGTTTTGTGAATGTGTGAGGGCATTGGCTGGAGAGAGGCAAAATTTTTTATAACGTTTTTTGCTCACACTATATCAATTGTCCAGTAATTTCGTATTGAACTTAGTGTTGTTTGTCATGCATTCCTATGATTTAGTTTTTAATCAGTCATTATTTTGTAAACAATAATGTAGACTGCGTTTTTTTGACAGTTCAAAATTCTTTGACAAACTTGACATTTCCCTCGTGTCATAATATTTGAATATAAACTGCGGTGTTAATGGATCTTTAACATGTTAATAAGTGTCATCATATTCATGTGATTACAATAGTTAGACCAAAAATAATAGACACTGTAATCACAGTAATATGTATTTAAACGTCTGCGAACTCGCCAGCGTTTGTTTGTGTACATGTTTTAGAAACATTATGCATATACATATGTGAAATTACATATTAGATAACATTGTCGTACTATTCCTCTGAATTGTTTGTTGTTGGATGCACGCCCCATTTCTTTTTACGACATTAAAGTCGTTGCTGTGTTTATTTCGATTTGTTAAGTCATCAAGGCGGAAATATCATGTATATATTACAACTACTTCTTGCACTAAGTATAAATTTATCGTTGAGTAAAATTTATTAAACTAATTAAACTAATGCGTCATTTCAAACATTACTTATGAAAATAAAACAACATGTTTTTTGTGTTATTTATACTTTAATTATTGTCATTACCTACACTTCACACGACGTTACGTAAATAGCTTTATACCCAATTACCGACTTATTATTCATGTTTTTTGTCGAGTTGGCAACATATTTAAAATTTTATGATGCCATTCAAATTTTTGGCGCCATTTTTCAATTCAGAATTGCCAACTCAAAAATCTGATTCAGTTTTTAAGTAAATACCTTGCAAATAAATGTAAATAGTTGTTTTTTGGTGCGGTGACGTCCGTTTTTTATTGTTTTGTTGCGCTAAAGTTTAAGTTTTTGCATAATGGATTGATTATAAAACACAAACGCTTGTCATTTACGATTTAATTGTGCTAAAAAACATGTTTAAAGTCTTTATTGTTGTCAATCTTAACAAACGAGATTTTACAATCTTCGTTTATTTAGTGCTTGTAGGTGTTGCTAATAAATTAAATTGAACCCACCCACAAGTTCATAAAGTGTGGTTAATTTTGAAGTATGATGGTCAAAATTCCAGAAGAATGTCAATTAAAGATTAAAAATAGAAATGAAACATAACTTTCAATTTTACTACGTAGTTTTTTTAAAGGTTTCAATTTTTTGCTATTACTTATTTGTCATTTTTATTTATTTTTTGTGAAAAGGTAGGAGTATGTACAATACATTCCGAACTTTCATTGTCTGCCATCATCTATCTCTCTTTATTTTCATAGCGATTTAGGTTTTAGACAAAGAATTCTGCAAATAAACACAACAAAATAGCTTAAAGTACGTTGTAAACAACATAGTAATTTATTTTTGTACTAAATTTAATCTAACATGATTACTCTTGCTGATTATGTACTATATTTAACCGTTTTTGTAATTAAGAAATTACTTGAACAATTTTTATTGTCCAAAATTATTACACAATTTAAAATAAAAATAATTCCATAGCCTACCAGAGCAGTTTTTTCGATCATATGGTGTAATATTAATAATTAGATTGTAAAATTAAATTATTAAATAAATAATAAGATTTTTTATGAACCAGTATTATAAAATATTGTTACGAAAGAAACCCATACGTCGCCCCGGTACGACGCCTATGGGTTCTAGTATGTACGGCGATAATGACTCATTGTCGGTGACGGAGAAAAGCCTGGAAGCGGAAGTCGCGATGGGCAATCCAGAAAGAGCTCAACTGCGGAACTTCTAGAAGAGAAGTATGGCTTTAAATAGAGGCCACCTTCGGGAACGATTATGATTCAGCCAGTTCATTCCACGAGAGTACAGTCAAGTTGCGCCGGATTTATTTTGTACATAATCGCTGTGTAATCAGTCGTGTAAATTTGAGTTATTGAGGAATAAATTGTTGAATTTAACCCACTCCGATTTTAATCACCGATCAACGTAATAATTCATAATTAAAATTTTTAACTATACTAGAATCGGCGATCAAATGCAGTAATAAAAGAACAGTATCACTACTTGAACAACCAACCTAGCGTTGTCATTGGTTAGACAACATGTGGCTTAAAGTACGAGTAGAAGATCTAAAACATATTTAAAAAGTACTCGTATTCTTTTTTAATTGAGAAGATGTTCTGTGTCTTCATGACAGGATTATACACATGAATGCTTATGTAAAAATCATTACATGCAAACTGAAAAAAAAATTAAGGTCTAAAATGACTTTAGAAAACAATAACATTCTAAAATAAAAATTTTTCTTTAAATCTAAAATTAATGTTCTATAGAATCAAAGCTTTTAGTACAAAAACAGATCATTTTCTACTTCCGCAAAGCGCTTACTAGTTGAAATCTGGAATCTTTAGAATCTTTAGAAACCTCAGAATGTTTAGAAAGCCTAGAAACCGTAAAATTCCTTAAACTCCTAGAATCCCTAGAACTTCTGGAATTCATAGAAACACTAGGATCCATAGAGTCCTTGAAATCTTTCTAATCTTTGGAATCCTGTGAGCGCTTAGAATTTTTAGAGTCTCTAGAATCCCTAAAACCCCTGGAATCCCTCGAATTTCTTGAGCCCCTTCTAATCCTTGAAAACCTTGGAAAATTTGACATTTTTGAAAACTTTGGAATCCTTAGAACATGTAGGATCTTTAGAATCTTTAGCACCTTTAGAAGTTTTAAATCTTTAGAAGCTCTAGAACCTGTAGAATGGATAGAATTTTTAGAATCTCTAGAATTTTTTGAATGGCGGTAATCACTCTCTAGAATCTCTAGAATTACTAAAACCTCAGGAATCTCTGAAATCTCTGAATCCCTACATTCCATGGAATCTATGTATGTAAACCTTGAAATCTTTGAACGCTCTGCAGCCTTTAGAATTTTAGAATAACCAATTTTTGTAAACCCGTAGAATTTTTGAAATTTTAGTAAATCCTGAGATTCCAAATATTTATGGAATTCTATAAATCTCTGGAACATTTAGAATCTCTGGAATGCCTGTAGCTTTGAATCTTTAGAATCTGCGGAATGTGTAGATTCTCTAGTCTATACTAAAACCTCCAGGATTTTTTGAATCTTTAGAATCTTTAGAATTTTTAGAATCTTTACAATCTTTGGGATCTTTACAATCTCTTTATTCTCTAGAATCTCTATAGTGTACATATTTTTTAAAGTCTCTAGAATCTTTTGAATCAGTGAAATCGCTAGATTCTGAAATTTATTCAGTCTATAGAATTTCTAAATTCTCTACAATATCGATAATCTCTGCAATCTCTAGAAACTTCGGAATCTCTGGAAACTCTGCATCTCTAGATTATATGGAATCTTTATCATCTTTGAAACTTCTGGACTCTTTGCAGTTTTGGTACAACTAATTTCAGAAATCCCTGGAATTTTTGGAGTTTTATTAAATCTCGAGTTTCCGAAAATTTGTAGAATTAGAGTCTCTAGAGTGTGTAGAATCTCTAAAAACTCTAGAATTTTTAGGTTCGGTACAATTTCTACAATCTCTGCCATCTTTGGAAATTCTGAATTCCTAGATTCTATGGAATCATTATAATCTTTGAAAGTTCTAGAATCTTTGGAATTTTAGTACAACTAATTTTAGAGAGCCCTGGAATTTGTGGAGTTGTACGAGTTTCCAAAAAGCTGTGAAATTCTGGCAATCTTTGGGATGTTTAGAACTTCTCTGGAATCCTTGGATCTTTAGAATCTCTAGAATGTGTCGAATCTTTAGAATTTGTAGAATCTTTAAAACCTCTAGAATTATTAAATTCGTTACGATTTCCTTATTCTCTAGAATTTTTTGAATCACTAAAAACGCTAGACTCTAAAACTAGTTCAGTCTCTAGAATTTCCAAATTCTCTACAATGTCTATAATTTCTGCAATCTCTAGAAACTTTGGGACCTCTGGAAATTCTAATCGCTAGATTCTATGGATTTTTTATACTCTTTGAAATTTCTGGAATCTTTGGAATTTTGGTGTACAACTAATTTCAGAAATCCCTGGAATTTTGGAGTTTTATTAAACCTAGAGTTTCCGAAAATTTGTAGAATTCTGGAAATCTTAGGAATATTTAGAATCTCTGGAATCTGTAGAATCTCGTAGAGAATTACAATCTCTAAAACTTCTGGAATTTTTAGATTCGGTACAATCTTTATAGTCTCTACTATCTTTGAAAACTCGAATTTCTAGATTCTATGCAATCTTTATAATCTTTGAAACCTCTGGAATCTTTGGAATTTTAGTACAACTAATTTCAGAAATCCCTGGAATTTTTAGAGTTTAACGAGTTTCCGAAAATTTGTGGAATTCTGGAAATCTTTAGGATTTAAAAATTAGTTTTTAAAACTTGTTCAATATCTAGAATTTCTAAATTCTCTACGATCTCTATAATCTCTGCAATCTGTAGAAACTTTGGAATCTCTGGAAATTCTAATCTCTAGATTCTAGGGAATCTTTATATGCTGAAATTTCTGGAATCTTTGGAATTTTGATCTACAACTAATTTTAGAAATCCCTAGAATTTTGGAGTTTTATTAAACCTAGGCTTTCTGAAAATTTGTAGAATTCTGGAAATCTTAGGAATATTTAGAATTTCTGGAATCCCTGGATCCTTGGAATCTTTAGAATCTGTAGAGTCTATAGAATCTCTATAATCTCCGCCATCTTTGGAAACTCTGAATTTCTAAATTCGATGGAATCTTTATAATCTTTGAAACTTCCGGAATCTTTGTAATTTTAATACCACTCATTTCAGAAATCCCTGGAATTTTAGAATCTCTAGAATGTGTTGAATCTTTAGAGTTTGTAGAATTTCTAAAACCTCTACAATTTTTAGATTCGTTACAATCTCTTTATTCTCTAGAATGTTTTGAATCGCTAAAATCGCTAAACTCTAAAAATTGTTCAGTCTCTAGAATTTCTAAATTCTCTACAATCTCTGTCATTTCTGTAATCTCTGAAAATTCCAATCTCTAGATTCCATGAACTCTTTATACTCTTTGAAACTTCTGGAATCTTTGGAACTTTGGTCTACAACTAATTTCAGAAATCCCGGAATTTTGGAGTTTTATTAAACCTACAGTTTCCGAAAATTTGTAGAATTCTGGAAATCTTAGGAATATTTAGAACTTCTGGAATCCCTGCATCGTTGGAATCTTTAGAATCTGTAGAGTCTGTAGAATTTCTATAATCTCTGCCATCTTTGGAAACTCTGAATTTCGAAATTCTATGGAATCTTTATAGTCTTTGAAACTTTCGGAATCTTTGGAATTTTAATACCACTCATTTCAGAAATCCCTGGAATCTTTAGAATCTCTAGAATGTGTCGAATATTTAGAGTTTGTAGAATCTTTAAAACCTCTAGAATTTTTAGATCCGCTATAATCTCCTTATTCTCTAGAATGTTTTGAATCGCTAAAATCACTAGACTCTAAAACTCGTTCAGTCTCTAGATTCCATGAAATCTTTATACTCTTTGAGACTTCTGGAATCTTTGAAATTTTGGCTTCTTTATTCTAGAATCTCTATAATGTAGATACGATATAATTTTTAAAATCTCTAGAATTTTTTGAATCGCTGAAACCGCTAGATTCTAAAATTTGTTCAATCTACAGAATTTCTAAATTCTCTACAAACTCTACAATCTCTGCAATCTCTAGATTCATGGAATCTTTATAGTCTTTGAAACTTCTGAACTTTTTGGAGTTTTAGTACAATTATTTCAGAAATCCCTGGAATTTTAGAGTTTTATTAAATCTCGAGTTTCCGAAAATTCTCAGAACTGTATATTCAAAATTTAATTCGTAAAATCTCCAGAATCTGTAGAATCTCTAAAACTTCGAGAATTTTTAGATTCCGTGCAGTCTCTATAATCTCTGTCATCTTTGGAAACTCTGAATTTCTAAATTCTATGGAATATTTATAATCTTTGAAACCTCTGGAATGTTACGAGTTTCCGAAAATTTGTGGAATTCTGGAAATCTTTGGAATATTTAGAACTTTTCTGGATTCCCTAGATTTTTGAAATCTTTAGAATCTCTAGAACGTCGAATCTTTAGAATATCTAAAATCTCTAGAATTTAATCTCCTTACTCTCTAGAATCTTGTGTCGCTAAAATCGCTAGACTCTAAAAGTTACTTAGTCTTTAGAATTTCTAAATTCTCTACAATCTCTAGGAACTTTGAAATCTCTGGAAATACTAATCTCTAGATGAAATCTTTATCATCTTTGAAACTTCTGGAATCTTTGGGATTTTATTAAACCTCAAGTTTCCGAAAATTTGTGGAATTTTGTAAATCTTGGGAGTATTTAGAATCTCTGGATTCTTTGGAATCTTTAAAATTTTCGGAATATTTTATTTTTCTGAAACCTAATTTTGTTTTTAATATTTGAAATGATCAAAACAAAATTCTCGACGCACTTAAATATGTTTCATTTGAAAATTACAAACTGTTGTGTTTTCTAAACATAACATTCTGTACAAACGAGTTTAAATTAATTAGAAACTTTGGGATTTCTAGAATCCCTAGAATGTCCAGAATCTTTAGAATTTTAAGAAACCCTACAGTTTTTGGAACTCTTGGATGGGATTTACTGAATTTCGTGAAAAGAATTAGAACTTTTGGAATCTTTAAAATTTGTAAATTACTAAATTCCCCACAATTCCCATATTTTTAGATTTTTTGAGTTTGTTCACATTCCTGAAATTTTTACTGTCCTCAAGATCTCTCTCCCAAAATACTTTCATTTATTAGAAGCTTAAAGTTCTCCATCTTGTTGTGCTTCTAGTAGTAAAACAATAGGTATCGGTCAATTTTTTTAAACATACATTTTAGAAAAAATGTTATTTTTAGAAAGACATTTTTTAGGTTATGTAATTTCAAATATAAGGTTAGGAAATATGTCAGAAATATAAACATTGTTGCCAATATTTTCAGCTAAAATCTGCTGAAATTTTTTGTCATTGTCAGTTTGTCCAACATGAAGAAAAAATATCGGTGCCTATCTTACGTCGAAAAGCTGTGAATGGATAATAACGTGCAAATTTAGTTAAAATGCGCAAAAAAGATGCGTGAATCGGTTTTAAATACGCTAATTTGTGCAAATCCTAAAAAATGTAGTTGGTTGTCACATTAATACTAATTCATGAAATATTTGATAGAAACCCGTTTTTTTAGAAATAATTTTATGCTGTCATTAAAAATCACAGATATCTGCAGTATATTTTACAAATCTATAAAAATGTATCCAAAATGATAAAATCGCAATAAAATAGGTTTAAGATAACGGTTTATTTAATCAACACCGACATCTCCAAAATTTCCCAAAAATGTAAAGAAATATCTGTATATCTGGATCATATTTCAAGTGAAATTTCATTAAAAATAAAACCAAGATAATAAAAAGACACCAGAACCGAAATAAATGTCTGCCTGATTAAAATTTCGTTCACCATTTATAGAGTTCTCATGTAACCTAACGCCTGACCCGCCATTGAAATCACCGCAACCCATAAATTCAAAACCGTGTCCAAGTCCTCACACCTGGCGCCAAAACACATAAACTTCTCGAACCTCAGTAGTACTACGATTAACATCTTTTCTAAATTTTATCGACCAAAATCAACAATTTATTAGCGATCGGCAACGCCGCGCTCATAAATAGCAATAAATATTACCAAATCCAACCTTGAAACTTACCATTCCACCATCGATCGATTTTTCTTCGCCTTAATCGCCACAATTAAGAACACAACATTACAACCTATAAACAATAGAGTAGCCAGCCTTTCGTGTAAACCTCAGTTACGTAAATCCCTCGCAGCGTTCCACCTGACTACCCATAAACCATCTTCCCTACACAAACACCAATTTATTTACATACGCTCAAAAACTAACAACTTCCATTTTGAATTCCAGCCAAACCGCAATGAAGAACGGCCGCTGAAGAGCACGACCAGTGAAAATGGCACCGCATTCTCGCAGTTTGTGGCTGGGGCTAGCACTGCTGGCGCTCAGTGCCGGACCTGCCCGGGCCCAGGTACTGTAAACACAGAATTATGAGGATTTTTCTATGACTTTGACTTTGCCGAAATCATTTAATTTTTAATTTTTAGTCACTGGTTGAAAAATAATTTGATAGAATAATGTAGCTATGGGAAGTCGGCAAATTGTCTCCAGTATACTTAAGTTAAAACAATTATTGATAATTAGTTCTCTACCTATGTTTTGAGGAGACAAATTCAATCAAATTTCATTTTCTTTTAGTAAAAATGCATATTTTTATCCGCCACCGCCTATTCTTGGAAATCATCGTTTGTACGTGCTTAATAGTCGAATTCTTGCGATGTATAAACATAAATACAGAGTTGCAGTTAAGCATGTAATGATAATATCATTTTTCCCGTTGATTATCTACCTGAAATATATTTAAAATTGTCCGTACTTGTGCGGACTTTGTTTCTAGATTTATTTCAAATAATTGGTCGAAGATTATAGCGACATCGCCGCTGAAGTGTAGCCCAATAAATCACGCTTCTTTGAAAAATTATAAACATTTTTTGCGTGTTTTTTTTTTGCTGATACTCTTTGTAAATTAAAAACCAGTGGCGTAAATAACATTCCCGCAGCCTTTTTGACTTGAATTTTTCAGTTCTTCAATTTTTGTGTTTCTTCAGTTTTTCAATTTGCAATATTTCGAGTTTTCAATTTTTAATTTTTCAGTTTTTTGATTTGTAATTTTACGTTTCGGCTTTTGATTTTCTTTGTTTTTCCAGTTATTCGATTTTTCAATATTCCGATTTTATAATTTTATGTTTTTCCAACATTAATTTTTTCAATTTTTCTTTGTGCGATTTTTATATTTTTCATTTGTTTTGTTTTTTAATTTTTAGATTTTGCAATTTTACGGTTTAAAATTTCCCGAGTTTTTAGTTTTTCATTTTTCCATTTTTCGATGACGTATTTAATTGTTTATTTCGTCAGATTTTGGATTTGCAATTTTTTGTTTCAGTTTTCTATTTTCTTTATGTTTACAATTTTTCTATTTTCCAATAATCCGATTTTATCATTTTTAAATTTTTAGTTTTGGCAATTTTTCGATTTGAAGATTCACGAGCTTGCGATTTGCAGTTTTTCGTTTCGATTTTTATTTTCTTTAATTCTTCAATTTTTCGGTTTTTCAATGTTATGATTTGATAATTTGTCTTTACACACTGAAAATTTTCAGTTTTACGATTTGTAATTTTTCAGTTTTCAATTTTTTTCGGATTTTTATTTGCTTTATTTTTACAATTTTCCAATGTTCGGGTTTTACAATTTTTTGTCTTTTCAATTTCAACTGTTTCAATTTTTCGTTTCTTCAATTTTTCGAATTGCAATTTTTCAATTTTTAATTTTTCGATTCTTAGATTTTCCAATTTCTCATTTCGTCATTTCTTCAATTTTTTGATTTGCAATTTTTCATTTAGGTTTTCTTCTTTTATATTTTTTCTCATTTTATTTGTTTCTTTAATTTTTACATTTTGCAATTTTTCGATTTAAAATTCCTTGAGTTTTCCACTTTTCATTTTTCATTTGTTTAAATTTTCAATTGCAATTTTTTGTTTCGGTTTTTTGATTTTCTTTAATTTTACAATATTTCAAATTTTCAGTGTCCCGATTTTATAATTTTGGTTTTTTTTAATTGCAGTTTTTTTCAATTTTTCGTTTCCTTAATTTTTCGAATTGAAATTTATCAGTTTTTTTGTTTCTTCAATTTTCCGACATGCAGCACTTCGACTTTTCAATTTTTGTTCATATTTTCATGAATTTTTAAGTTTTTAGTAACCAATTTTTAGATTTTTCAATTTTTGATTTCTTTAATTTCTCGATTTGCGATTTTTCGTTTCGGTTTTTGTTTTCTTTATTTTTTCAACTGTTTGGCTTTTTAATGATCTGATTTTAATTTCTCATTTTTCAACATAAAATTTTTCAATTTTTGAATTTTCCGGTTTTTCGATTTCCAATTTTTCGATTTTTCAACATTTCGATTCAATTTTAGATTTTTACAATTTTTGGTTTTTCTTTTTTTTAATTTTTCGATCCTTCAGTTTCTCAATTTTTAATTTTATCATTAATATCGAAAAATCAAAAATTAAAAATAGAAAATCGAGAAAATGAAAAAACAGAAAAATCTTCCGGAAAGTTGAAAATTGAAGAACTGAAAAATCTAGAAATCGAAAAATCGAGGTTTTGACTTTCAAGTAAAAAGATTGAAAAATTGGATATCGAAAAAATTAAAATTTGAAAAACGGGAAATCGAAAGTTCGAAATGTAAAAAAAAACTGAAGTCTAAAATCTAATGAATGGAAACACTGAATAATCGAAAATTTGAACAATTAAAATCGAAAACGGAAAAATCGAAAATCTAAAAATAGTAATAGAAAAAAAATAGTAGAAATCAAAAAATCGATTAGTAAAAAAACCGAAAAATTGAAAAGTAAAAATATTGAAAATTCGAATATCGGAAAACCTAAAATTGGAAAATTAAAATATTTTGCAATGTCCCTAACAATATGTATAATTTTTAAATTTTTTACTTTTCAATTATTCGATTTTTCAATTATTGGATTCTCATTTTTTTTCGATTTTTAAATTTTCAATTTCTTAATATTTAATTTTTCAGTTTCTCTTTTTCAATTTTGAAATTTTTCAGTTTTTCATTTTTTCCGATTTTTTGGTTGTTCGATTTTTCAACTTTTCGAATTAAAAAAATGGAACAATTGAAAAATCAAAATTGAAAGAACGAAAAAGTATAAAATGAAAACTTTTAAATATCTAAAAATTGAGAAATTTAAAAATCGATAAAGTGCAAAATCCGAAATATTGTAAATTCGAAATATCGATAAAATCAAAAAATTGCCAAATTTAAAAATGGAAATTCGAGGAATTGAAAAATCAAAGATTGAAAGTTTCACGGATTAAATAAACGAAAAATGATAAAATCGAAAGAAATATTGAAAAAAAATTAAAGAAAATGAAAAAACGAAAAATTGTGATATAAAATCCTTAAAATGAAAATTAAAAATTGGGAAAATGAAAAATAAAAATCAAGAACTTGGAAAATTGAGGAAACGAAAAATAGAAAAATTAAAAATTGAGAAACTTGAAAATCGAAAAAGTGCAGAATCTAAAAAATGAAATGTTTTGAAAAATCGAAATATTGAAAATTAAAGAATCAAAAAGTCCGATAATTGCGAAATTCAAAAAACGCAAAAATGAAAATTTTAAAAACTGGAAAATCAAAGATTGAAAGTTTGAAGAATTGAAAAAACGGAAAACGGTGATATAAAATAGAGAAAATGAAAATTAAAAAATTGCGAAAATGAGAAATAAAAATCAAGAACTTGAAAAATTGAGGAAACGAAAAATTGGAAAATCGAAAAATTAAAAATTGAGAAACCGAAAAATCGAAAAGCGAAAAATTATAATATTGAAAAATTGCAAATCGAAAAATTAAAAAAACGAAAAATTGAAAAATCGGAAGATTAAAGAGTCAGAAACTTAAAAATCGAGAAAGTGCAGAATCTAAAAAACGAAATATGTTTTGGAAAATCGAAATATTGAAAATTGAAGAATCGAAAAATCCGAAAATAATTGAGAAATTCAAAAATCGCAAAAATGAAAATTTTAAAAATTTGAAAATCGAGGAATAAAAAATCAAAGATTAAAAATTTCAAGAATTGAATAAACGAAAAATTTTAAAATTGAAATGAAAAAACGCAAAACGGTGATATAAAATCGGGAAAATGAAAATTAAAAAATTGGGAAAATGAGAAATAAAAATCAAGAACTTGAAAAATTGAGGAAACGAAAAATTGTAAAATCGAAAAATTAAAAATTGAGAAACTGAAAAATCGAAAAATGAAAAATAGTCATCGAAAAATTACAACTCGAAAAATTGAAGAAACGAAAAATTGAAAAATCGATAGATTGAAGATTGAGAATCTTAAAAATAAAAAAAGTGCAAAATTGAAAAAATGAAATAATGTAAAATCGAAATACTGAAAATTAAAGAAATCCGAAAATTGCTAAATTAAAAAGTTAAAAGTTGGAAAATCGAAGAACTGAAAAATCAAAAATTGAAAATTTGAAGAATTGAATAAACGAAAAACCTAAAAATCAAAAGGAATATTGAATAATATAAAGGAAATGAAAAAATGCAAAATTGTGATATAAAATCGGGAAAATGAAAAACAAAAATCAAGAAATTGAGGGAACGAAAATTTGAAAAATCGAAAAACTAAAAATTGAGAAACTGAAAAATTGAAAAATTAAAAAATGTAATATCGAAAAATTGCAAATTGAAAAATTAAAAAGTCGAAAGATTAAAGATTGAGAAACTGAAAAATCAAAAAAGTGCAAAATCGAAAAAATGAAATATGTAATGTAAAATCGAAATACTGAAAATTAAAGAAATCCGAAAATCGGGTAATTGAGACATTCAAAAATTGCACAATTGAAAAATCAAAGATTTAAAATTTGAAGAACTGAATAAACGAAAAATTTTAAAATCGAAAAATTAAAAATTGAGAAACCGAAAAATTGCAAAATTGAAAAACTGCAAATCAAAAATTAAAGTATTTGGGAGTCTAGAAATTGAAAAATTAAAGAGTCTAAACCACAATTAATGAAACCCAAACATTGCAAATGGAAAAACGAAAAATCGTATTATCAAAAAATTGTAAAATCGAATAAAAAGGAAAAACGAAAAATGGTCGAGGATAAATAAATCCAGATTTCCTTAAAAATGATAAGATCTGATTTTGTGAATTTTATTTTTTGATGATAACCCTTATAATAAGTAAAAATAAAGATATGGGGAAAATGGAGTGTGTCATTCTTGATTTAACTACCTATGAGTGTACTGATGAACCGCAATAGAGTCGTAATATCTTGCATATTTCAAAGGGGATTTATATGGTAAAACTTTGAGATGACGTCAACAATTTTTTGGGAGGGAATAAGTGAATAAATTTTGATTTACTATGATTAAGACAGACAACTGACAGACAGATAGACGGAAACGGGAGACCTAGCTCACCTAGCTTACGCTCGGGAAGTAATATATACCAGTCACAGGCTAACCGACGCAATCACCCTAAGTAACGGAAGTCGGCAAATTAAATCCGTATCTTCGGGATAAGTACTGACTCTGATTTAGGTACGGGAAGTCGGCAAATTGGATCCGTCGCCTCGTGATAAATATTAAAATATTGGCCCAGAATCGACGCGATTTATTTTATTGTTACAAAACCGTCTGTCTTCAGTTCCGTCCGTCTGTCCTCTATACTAAACCACCGATTTTAATTACTCTATAAATTACACGCAGTGATTTAATTTTCTACTTTTGTTCCCAGGACGAAGGCGCCTGCTACGGCCCCGGTTCGATAGCGCTGGCGGTGATTTTGTCGGTGGTGCTGACGGCGGCGCTGTTGGCAGGCCTGTTTTATCTGTGGCGGAAGTACCGGAAGCCCAAAGGTGAGTCCTGTCGCTTGTTTTGCGTGTAGTTGACGATAAGAGCGCAATTAGCGCGCAATTATCGGAATGTGAGTCAGTGGAACGGCTGTCATGTCAGTGCACCGTGACGGTTTTCCTTTGCCGGTATGGACTGTGCATCTTTCACTTCCATTGGCGAGGATGAATGGGAAAAGTCGGATGGACGAGAGTTAAGAAGCTTTTCTTGTTTTCTCGGAGAATTGTTACGCGCTGATCGGGATTGTTAAGCGGACAATGATCTGGTTGGATTGAGGTTTTGTGATAAGGGGAGGGGACGCAGAGTGTCTGTCGGGTACGGAAAATGTATACTTATTATTATAATAACAACTCAACAATTCTGTATCGAGAACGAAGATTTTAATTAGTAACACGGAAGAGTTAAATATTGATGAAAATAGTATCAAATTTCGGTGTATACCAACTGCGCCGATGAAGGCTGGGATCGTACTGCGCCGTAATTGGTTTTGGATTTTATAGTATGAGCTCATACTTAGAGAAGATAAAATGTCAACTGATTTACAAACAATAAAATAGTGAATATTTTTTATATTTTTTTGAGATGACGCCATCAGCTCTGTGGGGGGCATGAATAAATTAGTTTTACTAAAAATTTAATGGTCTGAAATAAAAAACGTAATTTAGGTAACTAAAAATATGTAAAATAACAGATAAAAAATCGGTGGAAGGTTATTTCAACGGTCCGTACAATTTGAAGTACATATTTAAAGTAGATAACCAACGAGAAAAAATGCTTGTCGAAAAAACGAGAAATTGACATATCAACAAAATTTAAAAATCGAAAATTTGAAAATGTAAATATTAAAAAATTGAAAAAAATTCCTAAAATTGGAATGTTGAAAAAGTGAGAAATATCTTAACTTGAAATATCGGGAAATCTAAAAATGGAAAAGTAGAAAAATCATGAAATCGTAAAACTGAAAAATCAAAAATTCAAAAACTCGAAAAATTAAAAAATATGAATATCGACAAAGTGAAAAATCGAGAAATCGAAAATCTAAAATTAAACAATTAAAATATTGAAAAATCGAGAAATCGAATCATCCAAAAAAATAAAAAAACTGAAGAATCCAAGAATCTAAAAAACTGAAAAATCGGAAAATTTAAAAAAACGAAAAATAGGAAAATTGAAAAAGTCCAAAACCGTAATGATGAAAAACTGGGAAATTGAAAATTTGAAACATGGAAAAATTGGAAAATCAAATATCCGAGAAGACAAAAAATCATGAAATCGAAAAACTGAAAAATCTAAAGTTTAAAAACTCTAAAAACTGAAAAATATAAATATCGAACCATCGAAAATTTCAAAACATCGGAATATCAATAAATCGAGAAATTCAGGTATCGAACAAAATATATATGTACATAGAAATATTGCAAAATCAAAAATTTTAAAAAACGAAAAATTGAAACACCGAAAAGTCGAAATTCGAAAAGTTCAAAAATCGAAAGATGGAGCAATTGAAACACCAAAAAAATCGAAAAATTAAAATATCAAAAAACCGAAACATCCAGAAATTGAAAAACTCCCAAAATTGAAACGTTGAAAAATTGAGAAATCGAAAATTTTGCAAAATCGGGAAATCTAAAATTCGAAAAGTCCAAAAATTTTAAAAATCGAAAAATCGAAGTTTCAAAAAGTCGAAACATCAATGAATCGTAAAATCGAAAAATTGAAATACCGAAAAATTAAAATGTCTAAAAACAGAAATATCCAGGAATTGAAAAAATTCCAAAATTAAAGTGTTGAAAAATTGAAAAATTGAGAAATCGGAAAACTTGAAAAATCTAGAAATCTAAAAATTTTAAAAATCAAAAAATAGAAAAATCGTAAAATGTAAAATATAAAAAATCGAAAAATTGAAAAATTGAAAAGCTCAAAAATTAAAAATTTAATAATTCGGAAAAAATCGAAAAAATCTAAAATTTAAAAAACTGAAAAGTTAAGATATTGAAAAATTGAAGAATCGAAAAATCGGGAAATGGAAACATCGAGAATTCTAAAAATTAAAAAAATAAAATAGAAAAATCGAAAATCCAACATTTTAAAAATTGAAAAATCGGAAAATTGTATTGAAAAATTCCAAAAGTGAAATGACGAAAAATTGGGAAATCGAAAGACTGCAAAATCGAAACAACAAAAAATTGGAAAACCGAAAAATCGAAAAACCGTGAAATCGAAACATCCAAAAATTCAAAAATCTGAAACATCGAAAAGTAGAAACATCAGAAGATCGAGAAATTGAAACATCAAAAGATTGAGAAATTGAAAAATTAGAAAATTTCGAAATTGAAATAGGGCAAAACCGAAAAATTGAGAAATTGAAAAATTAAAAATACGAAATATCAAATTTAAAAATCAAAAAATTCAAAAACCGAAAAAGTAAAAAATTGGGAAATTCAGGATTCGAAGTACTGAAAAATTCCAAATCTGAAAGTCGAAAAATTAAAAAATGGAAAAAAGAAAAATCGAAATATTGAAAAGTCTGAAAATCGGGAAATGGGAAAATAAAAAAAAGATTAATTCGGACATTAAGAAATCTTAAAATTGAAAAATCGTAAATCTGACACTTGGGAAAATTGAGAAATCGAAAAATGAAAAAGTCGAGAAATCGAAAGTTTAAAGAATAAAAAAACTGAAGAAATGAAAAAATGAATAATTAAGAAATTAAACAATCAAAAAATCAAAACATTTAAATCGAGAAGTCGAAAAATAGAAAGATCGAGAAATTCAAACATCAAAAAACTGAAAAACTGAAAATCGAAAAAGCTAAAATATTACAACTTTAAAAACAAAAAAAGTCGAGAAACTGAAAAATTGAAGAATTGTAATATGTATTGAAAAACACCAAAATTGAAATATCGAAAAATTGAGAAATAGAAGAAACATTGTAAAATCCCAAAACTGAAAAATTGAGAAACCAAAAATTGAGAAATCGAGACATCGAAAAGTCAAAAAATCGAAGTCGCAAATTCGAAAATTTAGAAAATCGAACAACTGAATTATCAGAAACATGAAAAATCGAAAAACTGAACAATTGAAAGATTAAAAAATCAAACCATAGAAAAATCAAGAAATCGAGAAATGGGAAAATACAAGAATACGATTAATGCAGAAATTGAGAAGTCGAAAACTTGATAATTCGAAAAAGAAAACGAAAAATCTAAAATTTTAAAAATTCAAAAATTAAAATATCGAAAAATATAAGAATCGAAAAACTGAAAAATCGTGAAATTGAAAAATTCCAGAACTAAAATAACGAAAAACTTGGAAATCGAAAAATTGAAAAACCGACAATTGGAGAAATCCAAACATGGAAAAATTAAAACATCGGAATATGAGTAAATCGAGGAATTGACATATCAAAAAAATATATATATAGAAAAATTGAAAAATCGAAAAACTGGAACATCGAAAACTCAATAATTTCAAAAATTGAAAAATTGAGAACCGAAAAGTCGAAAAATTAAAATGTCTGAAAACAAAATATAAAGAAATTGAAAAACCGTCAAAATTGAAATGTTAAAAAATTGAGAAATCGAAAACTTGAAAAATCGAGAAATCTAAAAATTTTTAAAATCGAAAAACCGAGATATCAAAAAGTCGAAACTTCAAAAAATCGTAAAATCGACAAATTGAAAAACCGCAAAATGTAAAATATAAAAAAATCAAAAAACTGAAAAATTAAAATATCGAAAAATCGAAGAATAAAAAATTTGAAAAATCGGGAAATGGAAACATCAAGAACTCTAAAAATTAAAAAATTAAAATTGAGAAATTGAAAAATCGAAAATCCAACATTTTAAAAATTGAAAAAATCGGAAAATTGTATTGAAAAACTATGATATTGAAAAATTCAAAAAGTGAAACGACGAAAAATTGGGAAATTGAAAGACTACAAAATCGATATATCAAAAATTTGGAAAACCGAAAAATCGAAAAATAGAAACATCAGAAGATCGAGAAATTGAAACATCAAAAGATCCAGAAATTGAAAAATTAGAAAAGTGAGAAATTGAAATAGAGCAAAACCGAAAAATTGAAAATTTGAAAAATTAAAAATACGAAATATCGAGAAATCGAAAAATTGGAAGATAGAAAAACTTAAAAATCAAAAAATTCAAAAACCGAAAAAGTAAAAAATTGAGAAATTGAGGATTCGAAAAATTGAAAAATTCCAAAACTGAAAATCGAAAAATTAAAAAATAAAAAAAAAGAAAAATCGAAATATTGAAATGTGTGGAAATCGGGAAATGGGAAAATAAAGAAAAAAGATTAATTCGGACATTAAGAAATCTTAAAATCGAAAAATCGTAAATCTGACCCTTGGGAAAATTGAGAATTCGAAAAATGAAAAAGTCGAGAAATCGAAAGTTTAAAGGATCAAAAAACTGAAGAAATGAAAAAATGAAAACTTGAACAATCAAAAAATCAAAACATTGAAATCGAGAAGTCGAAAAATCGAAACATCGAGAAATACAAACATCAAAAAACTGAAAAATCGAAAATTTAAAAATCTTAAAATGGAAAGAGAAATATTTAAAAACATGAAAAATTGAAAATCGAAAAAGCTAAAATATTAAAAATTTAAAAACAAAAAAAGTCGAAAAACCGGAAAATTGAAAAATTGAAATATGTATTAAAAAATACCAAAATTGAAAAATAGAAGAAAAGTAAAAAAATCGAAGTCGAAAATTTTAAAAATTGAACTACTGAATTATCAGAAGCATGAAAAATCGAAAAATTGAACAATTGAAAGACTAAAAAATCATATATAAATACAAAAATAGGATTAATGCAGAAATTGAGAAGTCGAAAACTTGAAAAATTTAGAAATGTCAGAAACTGAAAAATTATAAAATCGAAAATTGAAAAAGGTAAAACTGAAACACCAGAAAATTGAGAAATCGAAAAATGGAAAATGAAGAAATTGAAATTTTAAAGAATCGAGAAATTGAAGAAT